AAAAAAAAGTTTCTTCATAACTTACCCTATATAAGACTCAATAACTTTTTCAATTAATTTTTTTATATTAATTTTTTTATCAAATATAATAAATTAATAACTCAACAAAATTTAACAACTTTTCGTACAATATTTTAAAACTTTTCATGCATTACTTTCTTGATTATTTTTTTAATAAAAACCTTTGTAAAAAAGTGGCTTTTTAACCAGACTCTTAATAAGTACTTTTCTTTAGCTGAAAATATTTTAAAATACATAATAGAAAGTAAAAAACATTCATGATTATATTTAGTACCACAGCTTCAACTTTTAACCTACACAATATAAAGCAAACCTTTTATTGTAATTTTTGTTTAAACTTTAAAAGTTTGCTTTAGGGTCTATGTTTTACCATCTGGAATAATCTACACAGTAAAACACTTTTTTTTGAAACATTAATTGCTGTTGAAAATTCCTTGTCCTGGTGAGAGTATCGACTTTGGATCAAACATAGATTTTCTCTCTACAAAAGCCTTCCATTTGGGACCAAAGTGCTTCATCCAATCTTCCTTGGTCGTATGATGAGGAAGATACTGCTTGACCTCAATCCTAGCTTCCTCACAGAACTTCAATATCTCACGGTTCTGATCATCAAAAACTTTCCAATTGTCAAACCCACTGGCACGCAAAAATCCAACCGTGTAGAAAACATCTTCATCTGGTATTACTGCAGACATCCTATCATCCCACCTGCAATATTCAAACATCAAAAATTAATTTTTTTTTTGTTATAAAAATAAGAGATTAAATGTTGATATACTACCAAAAAAAAACAATTCGATTCGGTTTTTACCATATATATATATATATATAAACACATATATATATATATATAAAGAACTTAAAATATGTTATAGATGAGATGAATAGATAAATTTGAGCATTAATTATAAGATTAAAATGTGAAAAAAAAAATCACTGCACCTAAAAATATAAAAAAATCATAGTCAATTTTGAATAAAAACTTAATGAGAAATTAACACACATATTATGAGACTAAAAGAGATATATTTTATTTTTATCAACATGAACCTAAGAGAGCAATAGCTTAAACTATGTGGAGAGTACTCAAAAAATAATGGACAATGATTGGTACACATCAGAATCCAACATCCGGGTGTGCATTCTCCACATAAAAAAAAAAAAGTTTGGCCGGGTTGTTTTTTTTTTTTTTTTTTTTTTTTTGTTTTTTGACACTTGGGTGTTGGATCTGGTGTGCACACATCATTTTTCAAAAATAATATATTAGTTTAAAGAATCCCTTTTCTGTAATTCAAATCGCACTAAACTATAGAAAAGAGATCACTACCCTCGCATTTAGTCATTCACATTCAAGGAAAGTCTTCCATCCATCTGAGGTTTGACAGTCCAGACTGCTACTTTAGCACCTACTTTCAAACACATTTTTGTACTCTAGCATACAACACATTGACTTACTTGTTTCGGTTCATTGGATAGACAAGAACAAGACCGCTGGTGATGTTTCGTTTGAGGACAATGTTCCTGAAAACACCATCATTGAAATTTTCTATTTGAGATTTTGGAATGAAGAGATTTAGCCATGGATGAGGAACTTCCCATAGTCCCTGAGACCTGAGCTCCTCTTCTCCTGCCTGGACTCTGTTCAAAAAGTTTATGTAGGAAACATCTTTTTCGAACATAAGTCCTGGGATGTAGTTTAAACCTTTCAACATCAATTGCAATTCCTATAAAATCAAACAATAAAAGTACTTTTTAATCACATAGCACTATTTCATTCTTTCTGTCAGCGAATTATTTAGCAAGAATTGATGATTAATTGTACCTCATCGACCGTGAATCGGGTTTGATCATTGTAATACTTGACTACTTCAAGACTATAGATGATGCCATGTGTTGTAATAAGAGAGATTATTATCGAGTAATTGGCCGGATCGAAAAATGAGGATCTCCAATTTTCTGACGAACCCATCATGAGCGAGCCTTCTACATAATCCACTGCCTTATCGTCTTTCCTTCCGTTGATGGAGATCAAACGTTCTTGATCTCTTGTGAAAGCTGAGAAATCACTGTAAAGCATTCTTACCCACTTAACCTATAAAAACAGAAGTATTATTGAATTATTGAAATAATATTATGATTTAATTGTTTGGGAAAACTAATTTTGGTGTCGACACCATATGGTAAGCATCCAAAACTCCGATCAAGACGTGGTGTTGACACATAATTCAGGGATCGACACCATATGATAAGACTATTTCACTCATGTAATATGATGCTTTTCAAGTTACGATGTTTATGAGTTTAGGATACCTCTTGTACTTTATTTATTAATAAATATTATTTTTTTTCTGTTAAAAAAGAAATTGTTTGAGAAAACATAAAATCAATACGTCCCAACTATATATCCCATCAATAATGTGTTAGCATATTGTTAGATATTTTGATATTTTTAACTTAGCGCGTTTTCATTTTTAATTTTTTATAATTTTTTAGGGTTTTATTTTATTTATTACATTTTACATACCCTTTGTGGTGCTGGTTCAAGAGGAATTCTTGCTCTGGTTATAATTCCAAATTGGCCCAGACCTCCAAGTACGGCATGAAACAGCTCTGAGTTATTCTTTGCCGTGCAAGTCAAAAACTGGCCTTTTCCTGCATACATGCAAACAGATTATTAAAACAAGTTTGTTATTTGAGAGAAAAACCCTAAGGGGTTGACCACCAGCGGCAAGAACCGATCGGTCCACCGTCCACCCCTTCCCCCACTCAGTTCCCATGCTCACTGTTTTAGACTTTTGTTTTAGTACGTATTTTCTTTTCACATGTAGATTCTCATTTTCTTTAAAATATGAAAAAATAAAAAAACAATTAATTTAAGACAAATTTTCAATAAAAATAAATTTTTATTATTTTGAAAGAGAAGAAAATAATTGGCTACTAGGGCTCCAAATCCAACGTTTTTTTTTTGGCTGCAATGAATCTCCTTATAGTTTTTGTGACTCAAGAGATTTCAAATCTGAACAGATCTTCAAGTAGCTGGCACAGTTCATTATTTTTCTCTAGTTTTATTTTATTTTTATTTTTTATTTATCAAGGGAATAAGTAGTTAAGTGCCTTTTAAAGGGTGAAGAAAAAGCTAGTTCGTTTAATTTTTTTTTTCCATTTCAAGCAATGCTCATGTATTTATGGAGGTTGATAAGGCTATTAAAGGTAATAAAATAAATATTTTATCCATAAATTTATGGCATTTAGCCTATCATCTAAATCTACTAAGTTTTCTGTTAAAAAAAATTATTTTATCAACTCTCTTCGTTGTTTTACTCTAGTTTTTTTTACTAGTAAATTTCTCTTTCTAAAAACAAGTTTATTTGGTACTAATACATATATATAGAAAAGGAAAAAAGAGAAACTTAGTTAAGTTGATATATGAAATTAGTATCTATTAACTGTGCTTTTAAAAATTTTAAAGAAAAATTATTTTAAAATTACTTTATTTTAATAAAATATTATAAAAAATAAAATAATATAATTCATACTTTAAAATAAATTATTTTAAACTTTTTAAATATTTTTTTATCTTTTTAACCATAATTACTTAAAATCACATAATTTTAAAGTAATTTTCCTTTTAACTTTTTAAAAATATGATTAATAAATACTTTTTCCTTTATTTATAATCCTCTAGGAGTAATCCCATCAAGGCATGAAAGCGTACAGAAAATCTTGGTTGAAATCTTAGACGATTTTGAGCTTTTGTCTAAGAATTCCTAACATTGGGCCCCAAAGAAATACCATATGTTTCTTGCTGCTATTAATTAGGTACACAATCTAATTTACTGTACCATTTAATGTATTTATTAAAAATTTATTATTTTTAATATAAAATTAAAAATAAATAAATTTAAAAATATAATTATATACTTATAATATAAAAATTAATTGCATTTATATTACCAATATATTTTAATAGTTGAATAAAATACAAAAAGATGTGGGGTGTCTCCCTATCATTTTTCAGTTTTTTCTCAACCATTAAATAATTAATAAATAACGATTAATAGGTAACAACTACCGGTTTTTGTCTCTTTGGAAGTTCTTCCACGAGATAATGCGAAAAAGAGGGAAAAACGTATAGTATACCAGTGATAACGTCGATTTCATAGACGTTGCTGATTTGAGGGCCAAATCTGAAAGTTTGACCACTGATTCCGGCATTAGACAACGTTCCACCAACAGTTATGTGCAGGTAATCAGTCCATGACACCGGTGCAAGTCCATGCTTCAATGTGGCCTCCAACACATCGATCCAAAGCTGCTCGCTGCCAACATCGGCCACGAAACCCGATGAAGAGTTGCCGGATACTATGACTCCGTTCTTTAGGGACGTCATGCTGATGACCACCCCGTTGTTTACCATGGCCTGGCCTCGGACAGAATGGCCGCACCCTTTGGCTGCTATGCTGAAAGGAGTGGAATGATTATAGGCGGATACTATGAGAGTGGCGATATCGTCGGTGAACGCCGGTTTGAGAACTGCTGTCGGGGTTTTTGTAACAATGTGGCCATAGTCGTGAGAGGCTGATTCAAGGGCCTCCGGATCGGTGGACAGCTTTTCCCCGAGGCCAAGATCGAGGGTTAGACTTGAAATGTCGATGGCTAACGTCGAACGGTTTATGATGATCAATATCATCGCACAAAGCGCCTGAATTTTAAAATTGACAGCCATTATTTTGAAGACAGAAACGGAAAGGGAAGAAGTGAGGATGAGAGTAGCAAAATAACCGTATTTATAAGGAAGAAGAGATGAATGAAGTTATGAAAATCGAGATGGAAATTGTAAGGAAGTGATGTGAAAACAACGACGTTGTTTCCTTCTAACCACACCCGCGTAAGATTGGTGTTAAAATATTTGTGTTTTCATATTCAAAGAAAGATTTTCTCTACTCTTGTGGGCCCTATTAAAAAAAATCCAGCAAAGATACTTCTAATTTTATTAAGGAGATGAAAGGGTAGATCAAATCAATTATACACAAAAATTTTAATAATATATTTTGTTTAAGGAGAAAGAGAGGAAAATGGAAGGAAGTTGTGTCTTTCCATTTCTCTCCTCTCATCTACACAAATCAATTAAAAGTAAAAATAAACTTAAGGATTTTTTTTCCTCCAATCCTTTTAGTAACTAAATAAAGGAAAATTTTCCCTCCTCTACCATCTCCTCCATTTCCCTCAATCCAAATATACTACAAGAACTCATCTACCTTCCAATACTTCTAGAAAAAGAACAAAAGAACAGATACTTAAGGATTGGCAAAGGTAATGCTCAAAGTCACAATCTTACACCAAATTCGCATTTAAGGTCCTAAAATTTTATTACGCTCAATTAAGATTTCATAGTTTGTTGAAATTGTGGATGGAAAGCGTTAAATTTAGTAAATCATTTATTAATATTGTTAAGTCTAATTAATTAAATAACAAAAGTCATCCCAAGCCTTTTTAATTTTAGGTTTCAATAACCTAAAAATGTAACAAAGGTACCAACACTCCTGCTTAAATTAAGGCAACGTGAGCTTAATTAAATGCTTCCATGGGTGTCTTGTACCATTCCTTTTGAGATAAGTTAGGCCTCATTTTTGCTTTAATCTAATAAAGAGATCTAAATTTGATTAATTCAATTACCTTTGTGTATCAGGTCTTTTAACAAAGAATCCCTGATTTCTCCATACCAGATTACTATAAACTATACTATTGTCCAAGCATCCCTTATGAATAAGTTCTATCACCTCATAGACTTGTAAGAAAAAGTACTTATAAGTAAGTTGAAGAATAAGTTCTATTGCCTTATAGATTGAACGTGATGAATCTCTGGCTATGAGATAATTATCATATGGACGATTATATGGTCAACAAAAGTAGTGTTCATTGGGGTTGTACCAAATTTTTATCTTTTCTTTAAAAAGGAGCGTCAATGACACTCTTTTTAGACACTCTCTTTCTTTTTGTTTTTTACTAATCCTAATATTTAGAAACTATATTAAATTTTGACTAATATAAAGTTGAGTCATATTAAATCTTATAAAGAACAAAATTCTTTTCACATTTATTTTTTTATTTATAAAAGTTAAATTCAAAATTTTATTTAAAGAGAATTAAGTTTTTTTTATTTAAACCAATAAATCATTGGTTGTAGGCACTCTTTTACCAGATATTAAACCCAACACCTGAACTCTAAATAGTAATGCACTTATTCAAGTGGGGTGTCAGTCCAAGTGAATAAGTAAAACTTACTTAAAACTGTACACAAATAACTCATTTGTTAATAAAATATTTACCTTCTTTTTTTATGCATTCACTGATCAATATAATAGTAATTAATTAACTCTCCTACTTTTTCATTTATTTAATGGTGATTTATTTTTATTTAGTGGTTATAGCTCCTACCTCTAGCCTATATATAGTGCTATATAGTGCTTGTCATTGTATTAGAAAAATATGGAAGAAAAAAGAAAAATAAAACTCTTCATAGTCTCTGTTCCCATTGCATCTCTCTAATTCATTCTTCTACTAATTTCATTTCAAAAGCTAGTTATGAATAAATTTATTTATTATTTTAGTATGAATATAATTACAAAGGGAATAATGTTTTTATCAGTAAAATGTATAATTACAAAGTATATAATTATCACAGTTCCTAATTTCTAATTTAGGAATTGGGATAACGCATGATGGAAGCAATTCGGTGATCTCATCAAACGGATCTTTTGAGATTTCCTTCGAGGAAAATTTCATGAATCATGACATCAACGTACAATGTTTTTCCAGATTTCATATTCCGATTCGGTCCCATTCGAAGTTGGAGTGAAACATCAGCCAGATTTTCTTCGTTCCAAGATTTGGTTTGTACATATCTATGGCTACATATGCAGTAGATGGGATAATAAAGTCAAGTTGGGACCAAATTTACTTTCCCTTAATTAATTATGATGTCTCCAGGATAATTAGTCTTCGTTTTTTTTTTTTTTTTGTAATTTTCTGGTTCTAGAAGTGATACATATACCGTGAATCCATTTAAATAAATACGAGATTAACTTATCCAGCATTTCGGGATTTATTGGCCTCTCCTTGCAGGACGTGCTTAGGATTATCAATACTTGGGTTCTAATTCCAAGCTCCCTTTTCCCTTTTCCCGAAAAAATTTCTCATTGTTAAAAAAAAAAAATTCGAGATTAACTTTGGTTGGAAATTTTACTTGTTCAAGCAAAGAAAAACAACCAAAGATATGTTTAAGGTCTTAGATTTGGTTGTTACCAAGCATTAGATCAACTAGATAAACATCCATTCAAAGTACAATCTTTGACCCAAAGATCTTCCAGTTATGAATATTACTACTAAGGAACACCATTTTGTATATTCAAATATAAGGTTAACGTGATGTTTGGTTTAGTTATTAGGTAATAGTTGATGGTTAATAATTTACACCCGATTATTGACCGGGGGGTAAAGATAGGGGAGGCCTGATCACCTAAGGGGCCCAAGGCATTAATTGGTACATTTCTTAATTTAATATACTGTAAAATATATTTATTAAATATTTTTTTGAAATTAAAATTTAAAAAGTTTAAAAATATAATCATGCATAAATCAATTAAATTGATTATACTTATATTATATTTTAATAATTAAATTAAATAATTATCAAAAGATGTATCAAACCGAAATATGTACAAATTATTTTCCTTTTATTTTAAGTGATTTTATTTTCTTTAAACTTACCTTATGACTTTACTTGATTTATATTAAGAGAATTGATTGGCCATACTTTATTTTCTTCCCTATTTGTTGCCGTATCTTTTACGTATTTATCCTCATTGAATTAGAACTTTATTAAGGCGGATACCGAGTAGTCTTTACTACCATTCTTATATGTGTATGGAGGAAAACAATTTTATCTTACCACATTCCCCTTAATTCTCACCATTTTTTTTTTTTCTGGCATTCATAGTCAGAATGTCGATCCCCAAATTAGTTTTTACAGACCTCAAAATTAATCTCTATTTATGCAATTTTAAGAATACACCCTCATATCAACATGTGCATTTAAAAAAATTAAAATTTTTAAGTGCTAACTTTAAGACTTAAAATCTAAATTTAGCCTACAAAACAATACTTACTTACTAATGGGTCAAACCCTTGAGGTTCTCATATCAGTTTTTTAGCTTCCTTTCAACTCTCGTAATTTCTCTAAAGAAACTTATTAATACATCCTCCAATTTAATACACCCTCTTACACTAATCGGTTTAACTATTAATATCTATAATTTTAAGTTTTTCACTTTTAATTCGAATTTAAAAATAATAATTTTTTAAAAATATATTATAAAATGTATTAAATTAAAAAGTATAATCATCATTATCGCTTCTCTAAAGGTTAATATATTCATGAAGTATTTCTACAATTTTATTAGTTTTCTTTTATCATATATTTAAGTTGAAGGGAATAGAAGGGAGGGAGGTGAGTTATTACTAATTTAGTTATTTTATTATTCTATCATTCCTTTATTTTTTTTTTCGAATTTTAAGATCTGAGTAATTTTACACCAAATTTAGAGAACGCAATTTGAAAACTTGAAATGTTAAGTAGAACCCCTTTTGTTTATTTGTTTCGTCATTGTTATATATATATATATATATATATATTTTGTTTGACTTCATTGCGTTTTTGCTATATATTGTATTTCTTTTTGTAAAATTGATGAAAAATAAGTCGAGGTAAACTATGTTGTGATCTTTAGGTTTATGATTTAGTTTAACTAAATGCAGAGATATTAATCTTAATAACTTAAATAATTTAATAATAATTTCTTATTAATAAAAATAAAAGATTTTAAATTCAAATAATATGATATACAAGTAAAATAAATTAAAAAAATAAAAAAATATTATCTTTAATTGTATAATTCAAAATAAAAATGTTATCTCTTATTGTAATACAAAAAAAAAAAAAAATGAGAATATACCTTCAACCAATTCTTCATGTACCATTTTCTAAAAGCATTTTTATACTCCGCGCCTCCTAATTTGAGATCCTAGCTACACCACTGTGATTGATTGTTGTTATTTATAATTTAGGGCCTGTTTGGTACAGCGGTTAAAATTAAGCAGATAGCGGGTAGCGGGTGTTCAGTTAGCGGATAACGGTAGTGGGTGACGGTTAGCGGATAGCAGATAGTGAATAGCGGAAAGTGGGTAGCGGATGGTAAATAGCGGATGGTAAATAACGGATTCGATAAATATAACTGTTTGGCTATATAATGGTTAGCGGATGTTATTTAATATTAAATGATTAATAAGGACATATTTAAAAGCAAATAAGTATATTTTTTAAAATATTTTCAATTAAGTCCCAAAACTTCTA